ACAAAAAACTTATTTATATATTTTTAAGTCAATAAGGTTCATCACATTTTTATGCATTTTTAATAACACGGTTCGAAAAAATATTAAAATAACATGAAAACACAAAGCAGCGTTCTGTGCTTGGAAACAAGGCCAAGTTTTAATGCTTTGTCTATTATTTTTGGAAATGTTGCGACTTCAAAAAAATATTAAAATTTGGCACTACATCAGATGTGTTCCTCCGTGCACCGAGTAATTCCTGGCGACAAAAACTTTAAAGTGCTTTATTAAAGACAATGAGCAATAATTATGCTCGAAACTGGGTCATTATACAATTAAAATGAGACACACACGCCGAAAATCTTCATTCACACACGTGCATGTATACATGCATATATGCAAAAACCAAAATGTGTTGTATCTATCTTTTCATATAGATTTTTGACTTTTTGTTCAGCAGCAGGCAGGAGATACTGAAAAAGTTATTTTAGTAAATAAATGTGGCCGTGTGGTGCGCGCTGCTGGCCTAAATTCCATCCTATTCATGTCGGACAGTCGCGCAGCGCATCAAATGTCAAACGAAACGTGTGTGTTAACACAATGTTATTTCTCTTGTTTTGTAATTGTATTTTTAAATGTAATTTTAATTTTTCCAAATTTACTAGGGTAATTTGATTACCAATTAAATTTATCGTTCAGAAGTAGAACAGCTCTTTAAATGTTTACGACATGATAATTACCACCTGAATACCTGGGTCATCTATACGAATGTTTTTTGTCGCCTTCCCATCCCGTCCCCGTCCAGTTCCAGGACCTAAGACACTGGCAAATGGCATCAAAACCGTTCAGCCGTTAAATAATTTCAAAAATGGCGAATGCGCCGGGATGAATTAGAACTGAAGTGTCAGAATTTATCCCCTTAGGAAATTTTAAACATCCTTTCTTGGTGGTTATCCATTTCCTTTAGGTCCAGTAGAATGGGCCAATTTTTTTTATGAAAATAAATATTGAGTAGGTGTTAAAATTATTTACCAATACACAATAAAGTTTCACAAAAATTTGTTGACATAAAAACATTATTACTTGCAAAAAAAATTGAAAGTTAATTTTAAAGATTTAACCCAGGGGTTAAAAAATATATTCCCAAAGTTATAGGGCTATAACTTTGGGAATATATTTTTTAAGCTTATAATAATTTTTTTTTTCAAGCGGCCATGATATACAACCTTATATGCATGTATAGAGATAGTTGAAGTGCGTCTTTTTCATTAGCGGCAGACAAAAAACTCAAAAAAGCCTAGGGATAGAAGTAAATCCATAGGTGACTCAATAAACGTCAAATAATAAAATTAATTTAGCATTTCATACAAAGCAATCACGATGTATTAATTATATTAATTATAATCGCACGGAATATTTAGTGATTATTTATTAAATTTTAATTGAACGAAATAAAGAAAAACTAGTTTATTAGTATAATATTATGATGATAGACGAGTCGCCAATGTCGAAACTTCAAACAAATGTCAGTACGTCAAAATTAATTCAAGTGCAGCATTTTGACAGAGCAGTGTTTAGTTTTAATTTCGGATATTTATCGGCATTGTAAGTAAGGTTTATTAGTTTTTTTAGTTTTTATCAATAATTTCTAATGCTTTTAGCCAAAATTTTATCCCACACGAGTTATGAGTAAAAAAATAATTCTATTGCCTATCCTATTTATATTATGCCCTTGAAAAAAAAATTGTATATGTTATTTGGAGTAGAAGCTCTTTTTGTGCTTCGTACAGTTGCCTGCCTCAGCTACGCTTCGGCCGTCAATCTATGTACTCACCACAAAAAGAGTCACTTCTACTCCTTATAACATAATCTACTATTATTTTATGACACAAGTCAAATTATTATATCCCCGTACAAAAATGAAGCTAAAATGTCATCATGTCAGTTGAACCTAAATATGATTGAGCAATCGAGTATTTTACCTACTTATCTGTAAAAAAACCGTTTGAACCAATAAAAAAATCGAATAATAATAACCTACTTTATACTTTTAATAATTATTATAATTGTAGGTTTAATGTATTGTAACAAATAAAAGTATGCCTTGAAGGCAGGAATGCCAGGTCTGGTGATTTGTCACCAGTTCTGGTTATTTTAGACTGTATTTGGTGATGTGGTGATGACTTTTTAAAAAATAGATAAACCTGGTGATAAATATATGCTAAAGAAACATTGCAATTTAACGTACCAAAATGAAATTTAAATTTTATCACATTTTATTTTGGTACATGTTTTGGTACAATGTTTCTTGTTCTATGTAATTAGTATTATTTTTGATATAATGACTGTTATTTTTTGTAATTTACTCTTAGTTTTGTTTGGAGAGATTTTAAGTTATATGAGAGATTTGCTTTATTTTTATATAACATTTTATAACATGTTTTATAAAACATGTTACCCAGAATAAATTTATTTTTTATATTTTTAGATAATATGTATCTATTATTAAATATTTATTTATTTGAATGTGTGTGTAATATTTATATTAAATAAATTTTATCAAAACGTGGTGATTTTTTAACGATCTGGGGATTTTTAACCAGACCATCTGATGATTTCGATTTTTTTGACCTGGCAACCCTGCTTGAAGGTAAAATGTATGCCATGCGGCTGATAAATGCCTTTTTTTACTTCGCTCAATTGAAGGTATCTGCTAGGCGTCGGCATTCAAACTTTGAGTTCAGCACAAAAAGACTCACACTGGCGCAGACAAAAAACTTTTAACTGAAAGAGCAGTGGCCAAATTTTAAAATGTATGTATCAATTTTTTGCGCGGCAATATTTAAAATAAATCGACCATCATTTTCCCTCGATATACATCTCCTAAGACAACTTTTGCTGACAACACCAATTAATTAATTAATTAATTTTTGATTTACCCTATAGGGTATAATGTCCAGTGGCTGCAGCTTTTTATATAGATAATAATAAATTTCTGATTTTAATATAATTCATTATATGGGAAAAAAGGTTTGTATTAATTTATTTTTTCCCTTAATTAAAATTCAAAAATCTTTTTTTGTTCCTTTATCAGTGGCATATATAGTGTATGTAAACCTGTTATAAATAGTACAATTTACATATTTAAAAAGGTTGCATACTTTTAAACAAAATTGTATATTTCCTTTAAACTAATCTTTATTTTATGTCTAGTTCCATATTAAATATCCATAAAGACCAGACTAATGTATTCGTTTATTTTAAATACATAATCTATTCATGTCTGTATCAACTTCCGCAATAATTTAATGAGTGTCATTGAACAAATTTAAGCACTAATTCTTATTAGCAAAATAACTTTCGTGAAGTTAAATTAATAAATTTTAAAAATATTTGCCACATTTAGGGCATCAAAATGTATCGGTCTTCGTATTGTCAGGTAGAGGAACAGAAAAAGGTCAAACACCGGAAGGAGCTTTAAATTCCGACAATGCTTAAATTAGAGTTGAAGGAACTGCTTTGATTTACTCGACCAGTTATGTTTTGTCACAGATAACACGATATTAATGTTTTTTATATCGTATAGTAATAATAGAAATAGAACAATAACCTCTTAACTTCCAATGGCGTAATAGCTTTTTAATTGCCAATAAGCATCGCCCTTTACTTTAGAATATTTTAGCTGCACTGAAAGAAATATATACTAAAGTTAAATAAAAAAATAATTAGGGCAAATATATTTTATGTGTCATATATGGACTACCACATACATTGCTAAAACAAATATATTCGTTTGGTTAGCAGCCTATTGCTGCCCTAGCAATATAAATGGTGTTTCTAGCAATATTTTTTTGCTGTAATTCACTTATAGTTTACATTTTATAGTAAGGGTAAGTTTATTTTTATTTAGATCTAACATATCTTCTTTACAATAAATGTATTACAAAATTTAACATACATTCATAATAAACAGTAGTATAAATGTGTAAAGCACTAGTATAAAATTTTTAGTATAAATTTGTATTTACTTTTAGCAACAAATTTCTTTCAGTGTGGCCATATAATGTTCGTTACTCAATTGATTTTTATTATTGTGTAACATGATTTTTATACTATAATTAATAACCATCGATTTAAGAAAACAATTATTTCTAAGAGTTCATGAGTTTTTAAATCAATAGTAATTACTAATAGTGATAGTTACAGTAGAAACAATACTGAAAAACATTAAAATCCTTTAAGAAAATTGGTAAAATTTTGGGCCAGTATTTATTTTGTGTTGCTTGATTTATTAAAATTCCGAAACCCAAAAGCCCTTATCGTTTTTGTTCATCGTACATGGCATTGGCCCCTGTGCCCCGATACGGGGGTGTCAGACAAAATGGACTCCCTCACACACACACACTCGCACAAGGTCAGTGGCAGTTTTGGTTAAAAATACCGACCCCGGGTGAAAGACCTCGAGTAAGTGTACCCCCATCGGAGATACACGAATGTCGTTTTTTCAACCCCTTAAAATATACACCCTGCTTAGTTTTCTATTACCTCATTTCACTCGTTATTCGAAACGTTACAAGCGTTGAAAGTTGTTTTACAGGAAAAAGAATTCAAATATATTTTAACTTCAACATTCACTGATCTATTTTCGTCGATACAACATCCACATTTGTCAAGATATCAACGGTTAAATAAGAAATAAATTTAGCAGCACTTTTACATAAATCAAATCAAATAATTTAATTATGGTTATTCAAAAGTGACGATGTCACTCATTTGTGACGGGTAGGACAAAGAAGGTATCGTCTCTCTGTCAGTAAATGGTCAAAATGTTGGATAAATTATTTAAATAATGCGTGTTTTCATAGCATTATTAAAATATTTAGGTATGCAGTTATTAAGTCTAATTAAATGATAATTTTGAAAAAATTTACAATAGTTAACCAAAAAATGATTCAAAATGCCCCACCCGTCACTTTGGAATGAGGATAAATATTTACATTACACAATGACTAAAAACTTACCGCATGGAGGTGTTCCAGGGCCAGGATAATCTCTCCTATATAAATACGAACTTCATCTTCAGTAAAATGTTCTCTTTGGTATAAATGCGTAAAAAGTTCACCTCCAGCTACGTAGTCTGCAAATAAAGTTACAAATAAATTATTACATTTAATGCAACGAATAATTCAGATAAAGATGTTTTATTAATTAAAATGCTACTTCAAGGGCAACACAGATGTAACAGTTGGTATATTTTAAAATAACAGATAAATAATTAAGTATGTATAATATACACCTGTAATGCGTGTAGGCTTTTATTTTATTTTATTTAAAGGATTAGAAAGTGTTGCTAATATAATATAAATAAATAAACATACAAAATAATAGTATATTAACATGATAAACAAAAGTAACAAATGTTGCGTGTTAGTTACAGCGCAACCGAAACCTCTTCGAAATATGGTAAACAAAAATATCTACAACAAACGAATAAACAACTTTAACAACACATCTATCTGTTTAATACGTCATTTGATTAAAAATCACGTAATTAGCATGGTGGCTTCGTAAACAATTACACGTACTTTACAGCTCTGTTTAATTGCCTAATGATCTAGTATCAAGAACGAAGTAGTAAATTATTTTCGTTCTAAATATAGAATAAGCTGTCAATTCAACGGTTATGCCTAGAATTTCCAGCGTCACACTTTTCTGGCGATAAACAAAGAATTTGAAGAATTCCGAAATAAGCATTCAGGATAATTTGGGGTCCAACAATCGGGTAGATGAATATTGTTCACAATCTACTCTATAAAAAAATAAATTAGTAAAAAATTACTACCTTTTAAAATAAACAAGCAGTAGTCCACAGCAATTTGTATCCCGGACATTTAACAGCCAATTCTTATGTAAAATTGTCCCCTGAATACGAAAAAAAATTATGAAAATAGAGTAGTTTTTGAGATATAGTCAATTTCATATTATATACTTTTATAACTTTTGACAACATTTTCGGATTTAGAGGACAATTTTACATAGGAATTGACTGCTAAATGTCCGGGGTACAAATTGCTGTTGACGAGAATTATTAGTGGCTAAGACAATTAGTCATTTTTGACTAATTAATTTTAGCGAGTATATACATATGTATGTAAGTAAATTTAATTAGTTACATTTTCCAATCTAGAATTGATTGCTAACAAACAGGAAAGCCGAAAACGTTAAGTAGTTGATTATGTTAAGCAGTAGATTATGATTTGAATCTTCGCGAAAGAAAAATCAATTAAATTAGGAAATGTTCTCGGAACTCGCGATTTACTTCGAACTCGATTTTTTGTGTGGAGGTGGTGAATTATCTGTAAATTGTTTCGTGGAATTGACTTTCCGATACGGGGAATTCTGAGAAAAGCTAGGAAATTTTATTAGTATTTTTTGTGTCCATCATGATGGATATAAGGTTTTTTAATTAGGGATGCTGATTGACCATATTTTGAATGTCAAACTTGTCCAGTTTCTCCTTCATCAGATATTTGATATTTTATCACAAAGAGGTATTATTATAATACTAATACTAATAAATATTAATGCAAGAATTTTGACTACAGCAAAGTTTTAATATTCGCCTTGAAACAACTTGAATTGATAATTATAATTTAAAAACACTATTTAACACCATTAGACTTTGTATGAAGGATTATCGTTTTATTTCATTTAAAACCATGTCAATCTTTTTGAAAAACATTATACACATTGTCTAAAACGGAAAACCACATGATTGGATTGGAAACCAAAATATTTTGTAATTCCCCAGGCATCGGTCGTAAACAACATAACATGGTTGTTGTTTTCTTATTGATAGTTGAAAGTTGAAACAATGGCCACGTGCCCGTAAGTATAAAAAAAGTATGCGGACAGACAAGCAACTTCACGCGTTATCCTTGAAACAGCTGCCTGTTCTGGGGAATACATAAAGACGCGTTTTCTGAGTAGGATGAGCTCGGACTCACCTGAATGGTGCTTTCAGGTAGGTAAGGTATTTAGAAATAAAAGGTTAAATTTCTCCGTAGAACTCGAGTAAAATGTTCGAATGTCAAGGAGTTCGAATAATTTAATAAAATTTAGACTGCAATTTCTGGAAGTTGATCATTATTATTACAACAAAGAAAAATGAAAAGTTTTTAAACGGAAAGGTCAAAGCGACCAATTTTGTGTTATAATTAACTCCAACGTTTTATATATAGAGCGAAATAATAAGAGTGCACTTTGAGTGTTCTAAAAATACGCTATTCCACTCGCGTATATACGTATAGTTTATTTAAAATATATTTCGCCACGTCCTTGACTGAATGCATTTATATAGAATTTGTGCAAATATGTAGTAAGCGAGCGCTCGCGTTTGCAATTGTACACACGTTTGTTTTTCTCATCTAACAAATTTGTTGTTTGGATGTTTTTATGTTATTTTTCACAGGCCTGCGTCAAAAGTCGAATACTCAAAAATATTTACTTTGAGAGTGGTCTTTAATAAACTTTGTTATTGCTATTCGGTTTCTTTGTAATTGCAGGGATTATTAGCAAATAACAAGGTCAATTAAGAAACAAAGCGGCCCTAAATTATTCATATGTGCAGCAATTTTCGATCCGAGAAAAGAATAATGGTATGATACAAATTACACGATAATGTGTTTACATGGGAACATTCTTAAAGACAAATTAACTAAGTAATTCCCTGTGATATACAATGCTCAGGAATTTAACCTATGATTCATTACTGAACGATTACATGCAGCTGTAAGATCTGTTCTGCAATTAGGCTTCGGGTAACTCGTAATTCCGTAACCACTACCCTAAACTTAACTCACAATTTCAGTCAAACAATTTAAATTTCAAATATATAAAACCTAGCTAAAGTAGTATAAATGAAAGTCCAATTAAAGCAATATGATTTATGATAATTAATAGTCCGCATACAATTAACCAGAAGCTCAAAACGAGAATAAACATTAACAATTGCTTTTAGCAAACAAAGGCAAAAAATAAATGGCAGACAAGTTGAAATACGGTGTGGCGCAGGGTACCAACTCGCACCAGTTTCTATTAATTAACAGGTATATTAATTATATGCCTTAAAAACAGTAATTACCTAATTTTTTAAGCACTATTTTATTATTACTATTAATATTATTAGTAAAGTTTTATAAAAAAAATCAATTAAAAGTTACAATAGTGTCTTTAAGTATTATTTAACCCAAATTAACTTTCCGTTACATAATAAATAATTAGTAATTAAAATTAATAATTAGGCATTTATGGAGAAACATCAGAAATAAAAAATGTGCAAGAATTGTTTAAAAAAAAATATTCTAATTCAGAATATATTGAAATATTTATTAAAAAATTGGTAAACTTTCTAAATGTTTTTGTAGCTTCACCAAATATCTCCTTGGGCCATTAAAAACAAAAATTGGCAGCAACCGCGAATTTTAATTATTTTAAAAATGAAAGTTTTGGGTTAATTTAAAAATAATTTCAGTGAAAATTTAACACAAAACTATGGCTTCAAATATACAAACAACTGATAAGAGACATGCAAAAAATGTATTGGGAACTATCGGCATAGTGATGCATAAATGAAATTTTATAAGTGGGCCAAGAAACGAACACAAATTTTTAAAGTAGGCTGCGGTCTAGTTACATTGCTTACTTAATAATTGCTGAAAACATGCAATAACGTATCGAGTTGGCAAATTGAAATTTGTCAATTCATCGTAGGGGATTCGTACAAAAATTACACAAATGAATTCGTTTTATTACATGTAATTAATTAACAACAAGCCGAGCATACAATGTCAGGTGAGTAGACTTACAGTGAAAGTGATCGAGATAAATACTTTCATATCTCCTCTACTTTCACTGGGTTACCCGTTGTGGTAACAATTACGAGGCCCGTGTAATACAAATATTCATATTATTATAATATGTATGCAATTGCAAGCAAATAACAAACAGCATCAACTAAATGGTCGGAACGTTGCCAATAATATAATAAAAATTTTCTCAATTCTAAATGATATTCAAATATAAATAATAGTATATTATTATACGAGAAATAATGCAGACTCGAGCCGTCGGGCGAGAGACGTAAATCATCCGAGTAAATAATGCGAATTTTTTCTAGTGTACTATTTACTATGCTTTTTCTACTCCAATTAAGTAATTTTCATTGATAACAAAATTTATTATAACCTCACTTTTTCCCAATTTTAAAGATCTTTCGTATATAAAGTGTTGGCCATAATTTTTGCAACCACTGTAAAAAAAATTTAACTCTAAAACGCCTTTATTATTCTTTATGAAATTTTGGATAAAAATACTTCAACTTATATCTCAGGGTTTTTTGAGAAAATATTTTTAAAGCCCTTTTATTTAATAATGAAAAAACGTTCAAAAAATAACTTTTAGGGATTTTTTTTTAAGTAAATAAAAATTATGCTGAATTCAAGACCGTATTTTTGTTAGTATACCATAAAAATTTTGTAAAAATCAAATAAACAGCAACGAAGATACAGCAATTCAAAGTCGTCAAAAATGACCACTTTTCAGCAAAATAATCAAAAAGGAGCCATTTTTACCGACTTTGAAGCGCTGTATCACAGTTCGTTTAATTTGTACAAAATTTTCAGGGTATACTAACAAAAATACGGTCTTTAACAGCATATTTTTTATTTACTTAAAAAAATACCTTAAAAGTTATTTTTATTATTACTAAATAAAAGGTTTAAAAATATTTTCTCGAAAAACCCTCGAACACGTAAACTGAGATATAAGTTGAAGTATTTTTATCCAAAATTAATCCAAGAATAGTAAAGGCGTTTTAGGGTTAGATTTTTTTTACAGTGGTTGCAAAAATTATCGCCAACACTGTACATATATACAAATCTGACATCTGATAACCATACTTTTTCCCGATTGGTTCAAATAACAGTGAATATTGAAATCAACCAATCACTGATGCCTAACAACGTGAATAATGAGTTCAATATTCCCGTTGTTAGGCCGGGCGGTTATATTGGTTACCATTATTTACGAAAAAAAAACAAATAATGTCAATAATATGCAATATGAGTAGAAAAAGAT